TGGTTCTAGTGTGATTAAAGTTAAACCTAAAAGGAAATTATTTGAAGGCAAGATGCGCGAATTCACTCTTCAAGTTTTGCAATAACGGTGGACTCGCCATCAACAAAAAATGGGATAAATCACTTTACTAGCTAACACCTTAAGTTGGACAAATATATTTATATTGTAATAAATATAAAATATAATTTTAAATTTTAAATTGAATACTCATAAGTGAATATAAAAACTTGAGCTCAACTTCATTTTTTTAATTAAGCTCAATGTTGAGTTTAACCTTAATTACTTGAGTAGCACACACATTATTTTATAACTAGCCTACTTGCCAAGAACTTTAAGTGGGATGTACAACTATATAAGATCTCACAGAGTACTTTTCAACCATTGAGAATTTGGGAATTAGGAAAATTATAAAACAAAGAATGAAGAGAGGCACTATTTAACAACAATATTAGAACTAGGAGAAGAGTTGAGGCTAGTAAGGAGGAGAGAAATAGCAGTAGGCAAGTCAATGAGAACAGTCAAGAGAGGGATTGATGGATATTTCGTGGTAGATGCTTGCTTGGCAAATAGCATTGAAATGAGAATGCAAAGTTGAACTAAAAATGTAGAATACTTTATTGTTATTATATCATAAAAGAAAGACTTGATGGGGGAAGACTAATGTTCATCAAGGAAACAGGACAAGCTTGCTGCAGGTATTTTGACGTAACTTGTAATTATAGTGGAGAGTGCCTTTTCCTAATCCCAATAGCAAATTGGCAATGCCTCCATTCCAGCTTCAACTTTTTGAAACGCAGGGGACGGCGTTTCGAAAAGCAGGAAAACACTTTTCAGGTGGATCAAGTATTGAACCAATGAAAGCCAAAAAGAAGTCAAGCAATTAGCATGCGTGGTGGGACAGAGATGTATTGGACAAAATAGCAGGAAAGACTATAACATTGGAAAACAGATTCCCATCGTATCAGCATGAAAATTTTTTTCTGAAGGGAGCAAGCCGATATACTCAAAAATAACAAAATCTACATGAGCAATGCTAGGAGCACTCGTTCCTTTCACTCGCCAATGGACACCCGAGATATGCTGAAGCTACATCACCCTTGCTTTTAAATTAATTACCGGCAACTTACATAGTGGGTTATCTTAAAGTTTTTCATAAAATTGAGTCTTCTTCTAAAATGAACTTTTTGATTGATAGGACATGGGATAGGAACTTTCTCTCTTCGATTTGAATATCTTGAAGTTTCTTGAACTTGTACATGTCTGATTGAGGTGATTCTTGGTGCTGTAGAAAGTTAAGAGATAGTGCTAAATTCACCTATTGAGCATTCAGCCCAGTTTGCTTTTTTCTAAATGGCATCAAAAGAACAGTAAATAGCTTGAAATATGGTGGTTTTGTTTGCTGTTGAATTTTGGTTTTGGTATCTTGTGTACTGGTTGAGAAGTTTCTGAGAATAAGTCCAGAATTCTTTCTTGATAATTTGATTATTAGTGTGAATTTTGGAAGTCTTGATCATTCAAGTTGTTGTTTGTCTTTGGTTGATAAGTTCCCAAGAGCAGCACCATGGTTTTCTAAGGTTATGAACATGGTTACTGGAGTTTGCATGATATGCTGATGAGTATGGAGCTATTTATTGATGCCTAATTTAAATTTTGGTTTTTTGTCTTCGGGTTGAGAAGCCCTGTGATCAAATACCAAATTTTTTTCTAATCTACAATTTTGCTAATTTAAACCATTTCTGATGTTATTTCTCATGGCATCATTAGCTCTTGATTTGACAGTCTATAAATTTAATGTGATGTTTGTGAGTCTTTTGTTCCATTTTGGCTTATCTCAAGTTCAAAGTTACTTCTGATGTTGGTCCATGTCTTTGCCTTGTTTCATCTTAGTCATTTGATCTATGCTCCAATCATATATATTTGCGTGAGTTATATTCTGTAATTCTTTACTGATTTGTATGTTGTTTTCATGTCCAAGTTCAGATTTTTTGCTGCCTTGTTTACTGTATTGTGCTTACAACTTCTGGTTTCAAGTGCATAGCATCCCAGTTTCCAAATTAATTCTCTTATTGTTTTTTTAAGTCTGCTCCTGAGTCATTATGGTTCTAGATTTCTAGGTAAATCTGTTCATGAGGGTTATTTTTCTATTTTCCCAGCATTTTTGTTGGTTTTTTACTATGAATTAGCCTGTCTTAAATAAGTGAATGTTACTGATATCTTTCCTAAGCACTCTACCTTAAACTTGTCAGGTCATTTATTTTGAAATCCACTTAAATGGTCACTTCAGCAGGGCCTCCCTCTTGAAGCTTTTGTTCATTTTGATCAAAGGAACTTTAACTAAAAATTGGATTTGTTAGGCTAATGAGGAACTTTGATTAAATGTCATAATGCTTAAGATTGAATAAGGGATTTTAGATTAAATAAATAAATTGTAACTGGGAATGGGTACTAGTCAAAGTCTAGGTCAAGGTCAAAGTTAATAAAAGTCAAAGGTAGAATAATTAATAAAAATTTAAAAAATTAAAATAAAATTAAAAAGAAGTAGAAATAGAATTACTTATATAAGATATAATAAATCAATTGTTCCCAAAATTAAAGTCTGCAGCCATAATTTGAGGAGCGATGGCTCTAGATTTCATAATGTTCATGCTTATTTTTTATTTTTTGAATTTTAAGTGGTCATCCACCTGACATGTCCTTTCTCAAGATTACTAGGTTCTTTCCAGCTATTCAAAATGGAGGGATTGGTTTCTGTAAGAGCTTCACCCAAAATTTCCTTCTATTCTCTCAATCAGAGAACAAGTTTCTCCTTTCGAC